TGGTTCTGAACTTGTTCTTGGAATACTCTTTACTACCCTGGACAGCTCTTTTAAAGTCTGGAACACAACCTGAAGGGTAGCTTGCAGCTGCCACCAATCAGGACATTGACAGCCATGTAAAGGGCTTTACAGTATGGTGCCTATTTTATTAAGGGTCACATTTATATCCCATTCTTTCCCTGTGTTGCTCAAAGCAAATATTTTATCTCATTTCCTCCCCACAAGTTTGGGAGAGATAATAGCAAAACCATGTGCATCATTTTTAGGCTGAGTATGTATTTGACCTCAAAGATCCATGGGTTAATATATCTTGTCAGTACACTATGGTTCATGCATCTATCAGGAACAGTCCATGACATTTTGCTTCCTGAAACAAAATACAAGATCCCCTCTATTCCCAAGTGCATTTATAGACACTAACCAGATCAGCAGTTCAATCATACTTGTACACTGTTGGTGGCATACTGTTTCCTAATGAACTTGTGATATCATGCTAGTTTACATACAGGCAAACGTAGGAGATCTGGGCCTTCTCTGATGTGGCTCCCCTGTTATGGAATAACCTTCCCTTGGAGGCACTCATATTGCTGTCATTTTTATGTCAGATCAAAAAATGTTGTTTACAAAAGTTTTGGAAGCCTAGCTTGTATCTCAGAGATAGCAGGGCCTACATGGGCTATCTAGTCCAAACCCTCTGCTCGAAGCGGGATATCCAACTAGAGTGCCTGGAGCAGGTTTTTGAAGTCATCCAGAGAAAGTGATCCCACTTCTTTTTATGTAATTGGCACAATTTTCAACCCATCCTTAGCATCAAGATGCTTTTTCCAATGATCAGTCAAAATCTGCCCTCCTGCCTACCTCTATTTTATACTGATCTGTACAGTGGCATGGTTTTGAATTGTTTAAAAGTATTTGAATGGGTTATAGTCTCTTTTTTAAAGCTTGTTACATGGTTTAATTTTTTTAGCCCTTTGATATCATTTTATTATTTATATTGTTTCAATCTGATCATGCTGTGTTTTCCCCCCTACTGCCCTGAGATCTTTAGATACAGAACATGCTAGAAAAAATAAATATATGCAAAATCTTTGGAGTCAAGAAGTAACAGTCAGGAGGCTGGCATTGCTGCCCTCCAGAAAATGTCACCGGAAGAGATTGCTCATGGTGCTTTATAGTAGGTCAGCCTTGGTATTCTTTGCTATGCTGTGACTGTTTCTCTTTGACTGAGCTGATTGTTGCCCTTTGTGGTCCATCAAACACTATGCTACTTTGAAGGAACTATATATGTACAATCTCTTCATGGACAACAAGTTAAACATGAGCCAAAAATGTGATGTGGCGGCAAAAAAAGCCAATGGGATTTTGGCCTGCATTAATAGGAGCATAGTGTCTAGATCTAGGGAAGTCATGCTCCCCCTCTATTCTGCTCTGGTTAGACCACACCTGGAATATTGTGTCCAATTCTGGGCACCACAATTCAAGAGAGATATTGACAAGCTGGAATGTGTCCAGAGGAGGGCGACTAAAATGATCAAGGGTCTGGAGAACAAGCCCTATGAGGAGCGGCTTAAGGAGCTGGGCTTGTTTAGCCTGAAGAAGAGAAGGCTGAGAGGAGATATGATAGCCATGTATAAATATGTGAGAGGAAGCCACAGGGAGGAGGGAGCAAGCTTGTTTTCTGCTTCCTTGGAGACTAGGACGTGGAACAATGGCTTCAAACTACAAGAGAGGAGATTCCATCTGAACATGAGGAAGAACTTCCTGACTGTGAGAGCCGTTCAGCAGTGGAACTCTCTGCCCGGAGTGTGGTGGAGGCTCCTTCTTTGGAAGCTTTTAAACAGAGGCTGGATGGCCATCTGTCAGGTGATTTGAATGCAATATTCCTGCTTCTTGGCAGGGGGTTGGACTGGATGGCCCATGAGGTCTCTTCCAACTCTTTGATTCTATGATTCTATGATTCTTCGTATGTGTGTGGGGGGGGGGGGGCGACGGCAAGGTAGCCATAACAAAACCCAAAAATGCCTAGAACCTTTGATGTTGCTACAACTCCCCCTTCTCCACATACACAGAACACTTCCAACTCTGAGCATGAATTTGCAGTGTCTTCAGCAACAATTTTGCCTTCCAGTTATTGACCCCTATGCTAGGAAGCCAGCAAAACACAAACATATCCGAACACTCATCCTTGCTGGGAAGTACTCATAAACAGATTCTCCCAGATCCAATAAACATGCACACATCTCTTAAGCCACAAGAGAGACAACTAGGTTACACAGCTATCATCTACGCAGGACTAGCCAGAGGTAGCTGGTATTTCCATTCTAAAAGATTCCCTCATTTTTCCTCCCCTAAATCATACCAGCATTGCAAAGCCACCCTGCTGTTTTCCACCACAACAAACAGGACATTTGCAAAAATATTACATGCTCTGAAATGGTGAGGTAGAATAAGAGTCCATCTGGGAAAAGGGGAGGGAAGGGGGCTGGCTTTTGATTGAATAGCTCATATCACACCACCTCTGTCATTCATTTAACAATAACGGTGGGAGGGGGTTGGCGGAGGACGAGAACAACCAAGCACTCAACACCAGAAAAAAAATGAGCAAGTATAATTTAGGGTTGTCAGATGTGTCCTGCTTTATTATTGGCACATCTTATCCTAAGGGGACAGCCCCTCGCTTCACATCAGCAGCTCTCCTTTGCATTCCTTTGTTTTGAAATTTTAATCCAGCAGCTCTATGGATGGTACCTGATGGGGCAAAACTGGAAATACAACAAGGGGAAGGAGCCCTATGGAGGGAAAGAACTGTCAAACTCGAACACACACCATGCATTCTTCCGTCTCCAACTGCTTCCAATGTGCCCTAAAAATCATTTCCTTTCCTTCTTCATTCTCCTGTCATTGGAAGCAAGCCTGCTTGCATGTGGTTCAGCTCAACACAATCACTGTCTATCTTCCCTGTCAGCAGTTCTCTCTCTCTCTCTCTCTCTCTCTCTCTCTCTCTCTCTCTCTCTCTCTCTCATGCCCCCATCTTTATTGGCCTTGCATGAGAAGATCAGCAGACCCGTATAATCAAAACAGCGGTGTTATCATCCACCCCTTTTATTTCTTTCCTTGGCCATCTTCATTTTCCTCTCCTTAAGGGGAAAAAAAACCAAAACAGAAGAGACCAGGTTCTGTGTATGTATACATGGATGAGCCATCTTTTTTGCAAGACGCCAGAAAAAGAAATCACCCAGAGAGCCGGATGAGAAGATGGGAAAACTGCATTGGAGAAGCAACGGTGAGGCTCTGCAGCAAAAGGCACCCATGTAAACAAGCCTATGGCCACTGAAGATAAGAAAAGAATTAAAAAATAATAAAGCATGCACACAAATGCAAACCCTCTCATTAGACCGATCCACTGAATTATGACCTCCAAGAGACAGCCGTGCAAACTCTTTGTATCTTTTAACAGGGCCCGCATTGCAGAAAGGAGAAAAATGCTATCCGAACAAATTGTAAAAGCCGGGGCTGTCGAAAAGGCTATTCCGGTAAAAGCTCCATTGCTTTTGCTGCAGTCTTTAGATGCAATTGGAGAATGTCCCTTTACATGGCACAACCGGCTACCCACCCACTCACCCGCCCCCACTTCATGCTTGTCCTAAATTTTAGGTCTACCTTCAAAAGAAAGATGGATCTCTTATCCACTTTGCGTACATAGAATTGTTATGCAAGCCAGTGGGATGTTTATGTTCGGAAAGGACTTCCTGGTGACAAAAATAAAACCACTTGGATTTTCCATCCCCTTGTTTTCACCTCTGGACCCTCACCCTTATCTCATGCAGGGAGGGAGAAATATCCCACCAAGAGAGTTTTGGAGGGAGATACACTTTGGATTCCTTTTCAAGAGGGAGAGAGTAGGGGGAAACAGAGAATAAAATATGAGAATCAGGGAAGGAAAAGTGATTTTTTAGAGAGAAAAACATTATTATGTGTTGTTGTGTGTTTTCCGGGCTGTATGACTATGTTCCAGAAGCATTCTCTCCTGATGTTTTGCCTGCATCTATGACAGGCATCCTTGGAGGTTGTGAGGTCTCACAACCTCTGAGGATGCCTGCCATAGAAGGTGAAATGTCAGGAGAGGATGCTTCTGGAACATGGCCATACAGCCTGGAAAACTGAAAACAACCCTGTGATTCCGGCCATGCAAGCCTTCAACAATTACTAAGATAATTGTTACTAAGATAATTGTTACAATTACTAAGATAATAATTACTAAGGTGATACTAAGACATTTCTTTGAATTTTGAAGGGATACAGCCCAAAAAGACAGAAAACAACCCAGTGATTCCAGCCATGAAAGCAACAATACCTTAATTATTATGGTTACCTTGCCATCTTTGTTATGATGTGATCCACAACCCAACCCCCCCCCCCCTTGCAAACAGATCCCATCCCTTGGCCCATGCTTCCCCAATTGAAAAACAAATAAACATGAAATAATGAGAGTCATGGTTCCTTTTCAAAGGACAGGAGAGGGAGGGGGGGCGCACACAGAGAGAAGCACAAGATACAGCAGAAGAAGCCCTGTGTTTACATCCCCCTCCACCCTCCTCCAGGAAGCCAATGCAGATCCTATCACATCCCAAACCCGACCCAAAAGAGGGATGCAAACAAACCGCGGCTACTAACCCCGACACTGGCCCAAAAGGATGCTGCTCTCCCGGTGGCCTGCGGTACAGCTCTCGCCTCCCTGCTGCTTCTCTTAGCAGTTTACTTCATTAACCTGCCTCTCTCTCTCTCTCTCTTTCTCTCTCTCTCTCTCTCTCCCTCCTCCACTCACGCACGCGCGCGCTCTCCCTCCTCCCCCTCCCCTCGATTATTTTTAACAGCAATCAATATTCATCAGCCCGCCTCCTCTCACAAAGGCGAAGGGGAAGGGAAAGGAGGGAGGGGGTCTCCAAGCCCCAGCAGCCCCCCCCCCCTCTTCTCCATCTCTTCCCACATCCACCACCTACCATTCCAGTGCCTGCGCTCCAGACCCGCCTCTTGCCGGGGTCTTGGTTTGGCCCTCCTTGTGGCGACGTCAAGGGGTCTCTGGAAAGCGCCCCATTCTTACTGGGGAGGGGGAGAAGGGAAATGGGTTGCTTGGAGAGCTGGAAGAAGGGGATGGAAAGGAGAGGGGGGATTGAGAGAGAGAGAGAGGAGAATAGGGGATGGAAAGGAAAGAGGAGGATTTAGGGAGAATGGAGAACAGGAGATGGAAAGGAGAGAGGAGGATTGAGAGAGAATGGAGGAAAGGGGATATAAAGGAGAGGAAATGGGGGAATTAGAGAGAGGGGAGAACAGGGGATGGAAAGGAGAGAGGGGGAATTAGAGAGAGGGGAGAAAAGGGGATCTGTAGAGAGAGGTATAGAGAAAGGCTAAAGGAGAAAAGGGGGTGTATAGGGAGTCTGGTGATGGTCAACTATAGGAAGGTGTGTGTGTGGGGGGGTTGTAAATGAGAGAGAGGAGAACAGGAGATGGAAAGGAGAGAGGGGATGAAAAGGAGAGAGGAGGATTGAGAGAGAGAGAGGAGAACAGGAGATGGAAAGGAGAGGGGGATTGAGAGAGAGAAGAGAAAAGGGGATGGCAAGGAAAGAGGAGGATTTAGAGAGAATGGAGAATAGGAGATGGAAAGGAGAGAGGGGGAATTAGAAAGGGGGATCTGCAGAGAGAAATAGAAGAGGTATAGAAAAATGAGAAAGGAGAAAAGGCACTGTATAGGGAGTCTGGTGATGGTCAACTATAGGAAGGTGTGGGGGGGGGAGTGGGGTTGTAAGTGAGAGAGAGGAGAACAGGAGATGGAAAGGAGAGAGGAGGATTGAGAGAGAGGAGAGCAGGGGATAGGAAGGAAAGAGGAGGGTTTAGAGAGAATGGAGAACAGGAGATGGAAAGGAGAGAGGGGGATTGAGAGAGAATGGAGGAAAGGGGATGGAAAGGAAAGAGGGGGATTGAGAGAGGGGGGAGAAATGGGGATCTGCAGAGAGAGAGGTATAGAGAAAGGCGAAAGGAGAAAAGGGGGTGTATAGGGAGTCTGGTGTGGGGAGAGAGGGTTTTAAGTGAGAGAGAGGAAAACAGGAGATGGAAAGGAGAGAGGAGATTGAGAGATGAACAGGGGATGGAAAGGAGAGAGGGGAAATTAGAGAGAGGGGAGAAAAGGGGATCTGCAAAGAGAGAGGAGAGGTATAGAGAAAGACGAAAGGAGAAAAGGGAGTGTATAGGGAGTCTGGTGATTGTCAACTATAGGAAGGGATGTGTGTGCGGAGAGGGGGGGGTTGCAAGTGAAGGAGGGATTTGGTACCAAAGCTTATTCCTTTTGGAGATGGAGGCAAACGAAGCAATGGACCCCAAGCTGGTGCGTAATCTCAGTCACAAAAGAAAGGGAGGGATGGATAAAGAGAAGAGGAAGAGGAGGAGAAAGAAGCAGGAGGGATGGCTGGAAGGAAGGAAGGGAGGGAAGGAGGCCTGCTGAATCACCCTCTTTTACAATCTGGAGACCATTGGGTCTGGCTTGGTGGCGGCGCTGGAGAGGATGCTCCTGATGCTGCCGGCTGGACCATTGTGGGGAAAAAGGGGGGGGGGGGGGCCGGCTTGGGGAATGGCGCTGCCATGACAACGGGGAAGGAGCCCACGTGACGTCAAAGCCCAGCGAGGTCTCGGGAGGAGGGAGGGAGGGGAGGGGAGGAGAGGAGGGGGGGGGAATCTAATCTGCAGCGCCAGCCATTGTATCTCCCTCCCCTCCTTTCCTGGTGAAATCTGCGAGGCCAAGGGGGAAAAAAATAGGAAAAAGGCAACGCTGAATAAGCTTCTATGATGGTTTATCAGCAATAGCAGCTGGACTCTCAGGCCGAGTTGGCATGGAAGGTGGCCAGGGCAATGGCCTTGGCTGTGCAGGGTGCTTATGACCTACTCAGAGCTTCCCACCACAGAGATGCAGCCCAGCCATGCACTAAATCCCAAAGCGGTTGATCTGGTCGAAGACAAGGTTTGCTCTTTGGTTCCACACCTTCCTCTTTCTGCACTCAGCTTTACCTTAGTAGGTTTGAAGCTACCTTTGGCCTCCCTATCCATGGATTCAACATTTATCTACCCCAGGCATGGGCAAACTTGGGCTCTCCAGGAGTTTTGGACTTCAACTCCCACCATTGCTAACAGCCTCAAGCCCTTTCCTTTTCCCCTCAGCGCTTAAGCAGCTGAGGGGGAAAGGAAAGGGCCTGAGGCTTTTAGGAATGGTGGTAGTTAGTCCAAAACACCTGGAGGGCCCAAGTTTGCCCAGGCCTGATCTACCCATTCCAAATAATCCCAGAAAGAATCTGAAAAGTAAAGCCTGCTTTTGCCATTTTATGTAAAGAACACCATTTTAATACTCCACTGTGTATATAACAGGGCTTGAGCATCCATAGATGTTAGGATCATTGGGGTCCTAGAACCCCATGGGTACTATAATAATAATCTATATAAATAAAAATGTAGTGTTTGTACCTCCCCGCTTAATGCAGTTCCCACTCTTCTACTCACATTGCTGTTTTTGATCTGCTAGGTGGGCTAGAAGCTGGGCTGAAGGTCAGGAGCTCACCCTGACCTGGCTTTGAACTATCAATCTTTTGGTTGGCAAGATTTTTTGCAGCTGCAGCTGGTGATTTACCTGCTGCGCTGAAGCTGCTATCAGAATCATAGAGTTGGAAGAGATCTCATGGGCCATCCAGTCAAACCCCCTGCAAAGAAGAAGGAAAATCACATTCAAAGCACCCCCAAGATGGTCATCCAGCCTCTGTTTCAAATCCTCCAAAGAAGGAGCCTCCACCACACTCTGAGGCATAGAGTTCCACTGCTGAGTAGCTCTCACAGTTAGTACCAAGAAATCACATAGCCGACCAGAACCTTGTATTCTATATCTTTCCCAAGCAAATGCCCTGCAGACATATGATCAACCCCTGCCCCTATACCCTTTCAACGAGGGTGATGGTACTTGCAATCCAATGTATCCAGAGGCACAGATTAGGCAGTGATTGATATGTACTTATATTCCATGTATATGGGTCTTCTAATTCTGGAAACAGAATGGAAAATGCAATAGAACAGTGGTTCTCAACCTGTGGGTCCCCAGATGTTTTGGCCTTCAACTCAGAAAGCCTAAACATGTTGTAGACCAAAACATCTGGGGACCCACAGGTTGAGAGCCACTGAAATAGAAGAATGTACCAGCAGAAATCTGAAAATGTATCTAGGGAGATCTCACATAGAGTAGCCCATCATTGAAATAGCTTTTGATCCTTTATGTTCAAAGGGATTCCATGGTTGCTAGGTTTACAGATAATGTTTTTTGTAGTTATATGTAAGTATTTATTTATTTATTTACTAGATTTATATCCCACCTTTCTCTACCCCAAAGGGGACTCAATTACAGGAATATGTTTATGAAAACTAAAATGTGTGATAAAACATGCATTTTTATTGACAGTTAGTTTGGTGTCACTGCCTCTAATGGGGTCACCCAGTATGGTCTGCACCCCACATGCCAACTAATGATACCACTTCTTTTCTTGGAATAAAGGAGCCCTCTTCTCAAGATTGGTGGCAGCGAGTTAGTTTTCATTCAAGGACTACAATATCTCAGGTCCAAAGCCAATCAGTTAAGGGATATTATAATTAGTAAAAAGTGTTCATTTTTGGTCACGTCTCCACTGGAGACTGGTCCAGCCTTGCCATTTAAACAGAATGGAGTAATCCCTAGGATGACTAATACTGTGAGGTAACTGCAAAATGCTAGCAGGGTGCTCCATATATATATAGCATTCCTTTAAATGAAGGTATAAAATCAAGTATGTAAATAATGTCCATTTCAATTACTCTGTCTCTGCTGATGTTTTGCTTAAGATTTGTTCCAAGTCCCACAGAGATTTAGGTGTTCAGGCAGTTCCGTTATGTCACTCAGAAAGTATCCCTCCAGAGATGGGCATAACTATTAGGCCAATAATAATAATAATAATGGTGTCAAAGGCTTTCATGGCTGGAATCAATGGGTTGCTGTGAGCTTCTGGGCTGTACTGACCGCATAAGAAAGCTGATGAAAAAACACAACCTACAAAATATCTACAGACCCACTAAGAAAATCCAACAAATGCTATGTTCAGCAAAGAACAAGGGGGATCCTCTCACCTCTACAGGAGTCTACCGTATACCATGCAGCTAAAGACAACTCTACATAGGGATCACCAAATGTGGCATTGCCCAAACAGGAATCAAGGAACACAAAAGGCACTGCAGACTAATTCAGCCAGAGAAGTCAGCCATAGCAGAACACTTGATGAACCAACCTGGACACAGCATATTATTTGAGAACATAGAAATGCTGGATCACTCCAACAACCACCATGTCAGACTACACAGAGAAGCCATTGAAATCCACAAGCATGTGGACAATTTCAACAGAAAGGAGGAAACCATGAAAATGAACAAAATTTGGCTACCTTTATTATTAAAAAAATCTAAAATCAGAACAGTAAAGAAAGAACAGCACTCAAAAGCTGCAGAATTCCAGACAATCAGGGCAGCTAATCACCTCCCAACAAAGGATTCCCGCAGGCAGCAGTTAGCCAGTCTTTGAATCTGCAAGGACATTCAATGATAATCAAGATGATCAATTGCAGCATTCACGCTTGCCTCAAACAGACAAGAGTTCTTTCTCCTACCCTGGATATTCCACAGATATATAAACACCACTTGTCTTGTTCCAACAAACCTCACAACCTCTGAGGATGCCTGCCATAGATGTGGGTGAAACTTCAGGAAAGAATGCTTCTGGAACATGGCCATGCAGCCCAGAAAACTCACAGCAACCCATTATTATTATTATTATTATTATTATTATTATTATTATTATTATTATTATTTTACTGACACAAAACCACAGTATGTCACAGCAAACAAGACTAGGGGGGGGGGGACCTGTTTTGTTTTGTTTTGTTTTGGGGTTTTTTGCACAAACAAAAATGAGAATACAAAGTTTTATCCTAACTCGCTGAAATCTAGCAACACTTCATAATGATTGGCTGTTTTGTGACTGAGTGTCTTGAAGTGTTGGGGCATCCTATGTTGTTGAGGATGGGAAATTTTGCACCAAGGCCCTTGCATCCTTATTACTTTTATACTAGTTCTCTGGTAGATGTGTGCATGTTCATTTTGGACCCTCTTTTGGAGAAAGACTCTAAGAGCTGTCAAGACAAACAACTGCACTTGAGAAATTGCTGCTACAAAGCTGGATGGAGTACATTAGCATTCAAATTTCTAGGCCTAGACCAAAGGAAAATTCATTCATTTTTTCCAGGTATATAACAAGACTTGCTTGTGAAAAGTAAAAATTCCCATATTATGTGCCTTTGAATGTAGCATCTCAGTCCCTGCCTTGACCTGGAATTCCTTAGAAACAGAAACAGAAAACCAATTTCCTAAGCTTCTCA